AAGTTAATCAGTATTTTTTTTCTTCTCCTGGACATCACTAGGAACTTTGAAGACTTGGAGTCCATTTCTCCTCCCGTCCAAACTTACATGTTATCGTAACCACGCATTTTAATTCTACCTTACATTTTTTTAGTCAACTTTACACTCTTATTATGATTTGATGTAGTTAATATTTGTTTAGATTTGCCAATGTACCTGCCACTTTCTTTTATCTTTGTTTATTCTTGCATATCAGATCTTCTATCCAAGATCACATTCTGTTGAAAAATATCCTCCAGAATTACAAATAGTATTTTTTTGTACAATTACTATTTTTATTTTGTACAATTAATATTTTTATTTTGCCCTCATCCTTGAAAGATATTTTCAGTGGTATAGAATTCTAGCTTGACAGTTACTTTCTTTACAAAATATTAAGTGTGTCAATCAACTGTCTTCTGGCTTCCGTGACTGCTTTGATGAGGGAGCTTTCAGTCTGTCGTCTGTTTGAATGTAATCTGTTCATTGTATTTAACTGCTTTAGTATGGTCTGTGTCCTTATGCACTGCAGTTTCAGTATGGTGTTGTCTGGTGTGGATTCCTTCTCTAATTTGCCATGGAATTCTTGAATCTCTAGATCAGCATCTTTCATTGATTCCAGTAAATTCTAGATGTTATCTCCTAAAATATTGATTATGCAGCAGTCTCCGTCTTTCCAAGAATTCTGATTAGACACATTAGATCTTCTATATCCATCAAGTCTCTTCATCTCTCTCTCACACGTCCTCATTTTTTGTCCATCAGTGTTGCGTTCTGCATATTTTCTTCTTTCTTTACCTTCCAGTTCACTAATTCTCTCTTCAGAGGTGTCTAATCTCCCATGTATGTGTGTTCTTGACTTCAATTACTTCATTTGTTTTTTTGTTGTTTGTTTGGGAAGTTCTATCTGACTCTCTTTCAAACATGCTGAAATCATTTTAAATATTTCTTAGCATCTATAAATTTTAGAGCTTTCTTTTTACTTCTTTAAACATAGTTCTTTTAAAACCTGTCTGATACTTCCAGTTTCTGAAGTATTTGCAGACCTGTTTCTGTTGGTTCCTTGCTTCCTTGTGTGCTTTTAAAATGTTTATGGTAAGCTGCTCATTTTCTTTATAAAATTAGTTTTGAGAACAACACTTGGAGGCCCAGCATGAGGGAATCCTCTAGAGAGAATGCACATTGGCTTCTGTCATGAGGCAATTCCAGTTGAGAGCCCACTTAAAACTACATTCACAAATCGAGGGGTTTGGTGCCATCCAGTTGTTTGACCTTGTGCTACGAATCCATGAAGGTCACAGCCCCTCAAGATGCTCTTGCTGTCATTTCGCTCAACACTGGGGCAGGTCTGCCTGCATGTCCCTGGCACTGAGGACCACGGTGCTGACTTCTGTGGCTTGTCCTCACCCTGAGGGTGTGGTCCTCTAGAGTCCCAGCCTGATGGTCGATGCTCTGGCATCAGACACCCAACCCTGACTAACCTGGGCTTTAATTCTGCTCTCCACCATTTGGGGGTTGAAGACCAGGTTGCAAGGTCACAGGTTGGGCACACACCCTTGGGGCAAAAGAAGCTTCCTGTCCTGCTTCCTCCAGGCTCCCCTGTGAACTCAGATTTTTGCCTGGTAATTCCCTATTATTTGTCAGTTTGCGGTTACATTTAAGGAGGATTTTTTTTTTTTTTTTTTTTGTATTTCATTCAAGCTTTTTAGCTTTTATTGACAGAGACTTTGGTTGTGATCACTGAGCCTACCATAATACCAGAAATGGAAATGTCCTATTTGACTTCTCCTTCCTCCCCTCCCTCCTTTTCTTTCTGAAACTCTTTAATCCCTCTCTGATTTACATTGGTATCTGGTGAGAAATTAGCACATAAAATTCTTCATTCTCTCCCACTCTAAACAATTACCTCAACACCGTGCATTCTTGGTTATGATGTTTGGTTTTCATATGGCATTTTATAAGTCTCAGCCTTTCTATCCAAAATCAGGTCATGTCTGTTTATCAACACTTATTCATAACTTCATTTACATTTTAATAGACCGCCACAGTTTTCTTTATTTGTTACACTATGTGTTAAAATCATTCCCATTAGGGCCGGCCCAGTGGCGCACTGCTACAGTGCGCCGCTTGGGAAGCGCGGTGGCGCTCCCGCCGAGGGTTCGGATCCCACGTGCAGACCGGCTGCTCACTGGCTGAGCGAGGAGGGGGGGCAACACCGAGGGTTGCGATCCCGTTGCCGGTCCCGGTCCGGTACGGGCACGACACTGAGGGTTGCGATCCGTTGCCGGTCACGAAAAAAAAAAAAGACAAAAAAAAAATCATTCCCATTATCAATTCATATATTTTTATTCCATTGTAAGTTGGATCATGTTTTCATTATTTTTTTAAGGTTATTTCTGGTATGTTAGAATGCGCTTGCTTTTCTAAACTTTCTTTTCTCTGGTGGTATTTATGAATCTTCTTATTAATCGTAGCTGATTTTATTTTTTTTCTGCCTATGGTATATGTATGCAATAACATAATCTACATTTTCTCTCTTTCAGGCCTTGCACTGGCCAGAACTTCTAAAACAATGTTCAATAGTATTAATGTTATGCTTTGTATTTTAATGGTAAGTCCATGCATGTTTAACCAATAAATATGATTAGCTCTCAGTGTAATGAATGTGTTAAAATCACTGTGACATTTTATGTACCACTTCTTGCTCCAACCCCCCAAAAAAGCTGAAGAAGCCTTGGTCCAACACTTTGTACCAAGCAGCACTGGACCCGAAAATTCTAGATGTTAAACGACCAATGTTTTCGAAGAAGCAGTTTCAATTCTACACATAAAAATTATGTAGTTAAAAAAAAATTTTTTTTGATCTCTAATAACTGAAGAAAATAGGTACAATGAAAGTATCGAATCTAAACTTGATGCAGAGTGTCAAAAATGATGAACAGGAGTAAGGGTAAACACTGAAAGGCTGTACTAATAATGCATGTGAAAAAAGACTCATTGCACAACTATAAGGGGAACGTTCACATCTCTATTAACTACTGAATTTTGGTAATAAACTGTGTGTGCCCAACTTATCTTGCTCACATGGATATGGAAGAATCCATTGGTATATCTCTGTCTAGACTGATCTTGCCTGAAGTGCAGTCTGCGGATATCCTGAGTTGACATTCCTGTTTAAATTCTTGTTAAAATGCAGATCCTCAGGCCCCTTCACAGGCAAAGTGAATCAGAATGGGGGAGTGTGGGCTGGAAGCCTGAGATTTAGTGGGGCTCCCTAGGGGCTCCTCTTACAAACTAAAATTTAGGAAAAGAAAGAGAAAATAAGAGGGGCAGAGAGGGTGGTGGGGAAATAAAATCCGAGATGAGGAGGGGGATTTTATACCACACACACTATGGCACAAAAGGTATCAACCATCAAGCTGTAAAAGCTGAATCTGATATTCCCATTAAAATATTATAATTGGACCAGAGATTTTCAGAGAAATGAACCACACGTCATATTAAACCACCTAACAAGCATTTCAAAGGTATGAAAACCAAGTCAGGCAACACCTAACCCATCACACCTAATTATACTAATGAAATGCTATCAGCATCTCCCGGGCAAATTTCTTGTTGAATTTCTTTGTAATTCATACGTTATTTTTAACTGCAATAAATCAGAGAGTGGAAAATGACCTTCATTAGTCACGACACCAGGGAATATTTGGAGGGCATGGTTTTTTCTCATATCCACAGGGGGACTTTGGGGTAGGCTTCGGTCCACCCTCTGGCCTTTACAGAAACTGATCTGGAAAGGTCAGTTCGATCTCCCCGTAAGTCCTCCTGGTACAGATATTAAGGGTCAGGTTGTAGATGTTATGTTTGAATGTCAAATGACTTTTCCTTTTTTAGCCGCAATCTCACCAGCCCTGGCAGCTTTACCTGGAATCCTGCTTTCAAATGTATCTCTGCTTTTTAAATCTCCGAATCTTATTCATATTAAGTCATTTGTCCTTTGATTCCCCTCTGGTGATAAAAAAGCCTCAATGCTTTGGCTTGAATTGTGACCATACTCAAAGGCACACAGAACTGAGTACGAATCTTTTAAATGCGACCACGTTGGCCAGACTGCGATTCAACTCCTCTCAATTCACCAGAACGCTCTGAGCCCCTCCATGCGCCAAGCATCGCCGCCGTGGCTACAGTCCTGGCTGGAGGAACTTGCCACCAACAGACGCCGACTGCTTTTCTTTCTATGCCTCATTCCTAAAAAACTCAGGAAAGCATGAGTCAAGGACATCAGACTGCTCCACGCTCAGCACTCGAATGCACGAGAGCTGACATAGTCAGCGGGCGTTGCTTTTCAAAGCGTCAATGAAAGACGATGCCAAACAGGCCACATCTGCTGAGGATGTTTGAAACTGCGTCATTATTTTACAGCCTTAGGAGGCTCTTGCTCCTTCCTCCTTATCTTCCTTTCTTTTCCCCTCACGGGCTCCAGCCAGCTTGGTTCCTCCCTTCTCTGCCACCCCAGCTACAAGTCTAAAGCCCAACGCTCGAGCGAGGGCTGTGCATACGTCAACCTTGCACCAGAGACTCAGGACACACGGTCCTGAGCTCAGCGCAAGGCTGAAGCCGCAAATGTGCAGAAAGCCGTGTGTGGAGTGCGTCAGGAGTGCAGTTGGCGGATGCTGATTTGACAAGCTTTCGTCTGTGCAGAGCCCACGCGCTGTTGGGTGCCAGCAACGGGCAGAATTGACTGCATGAGGTTCGTGGGAATATCCCGGCAAATGCCCACATACAGGGGACCAGCCGTGCACCTGTGCATGTGGCACAGCACCCTCCTTCTAGAAAGGTTCGTACTTGCCAGGCAGCTGGCCACCCAGCGTGCCAGGCACCTCTCCCTGCACTCGTCTCTCTCACGTCCCACTGAGAGCCGAGGCTCTCCCACGTCATGTTGAGCAGGGCCCTCCCACACATTACACAGCACGGGTTCTCACCACCGAATCTTTCATCTTCTCGGAGAGAGGGTCTGCAGCCGACTCTTCCAGATCCTCATGTAAAAATTTAGGAAACCATTTACATTGAATCAAGGACCTGAAAGTGAGAGAAGACACAGGTGTAACGTTTTAAAAAATTGCATGTGCCTTTGACAGTGTATGAGGTCAAAGACTGCACCTTAGACCTCACGCTCAAGCATGATAGAAGCAAACACTGTCACCTTTAGAAAGCTCATAATGAAAAGAAGTGCACGTTCAAGTCATCACGAAGATAACGTTCTAATTTTTAAATCTCACCCCAAGGAAAGAAGTCAAGCACCTCTGGGGTATCAGCAGCCCGACTGCCAGCAGCAGGGGACCGTCTTTCTCTGCTAGTCACCAGGGCTTCATCCTCACCAAAAATGACAGCAGAAGTCCAAATTCCAGTAAAACACTTGAAACTAAAAACTGTGCAGACTGTGTTTAACCTCTTCCCCCATTTTTCCATGCCTTCACCTTTGTGCACATAATAGCCCAAAATTATGGTGTCTCTGGTCCCCAAACAGTTATAGTTTTAATCCTGAGTCAAAATGCTCTGTAAGTTCAGACAAATTATAGGAGATGCTACTATCAATATCTCAAACTCACTTTGGCAACCCATGAAGGATTTCCAGTCCCAAATTACATATTTACCAAAGATTTAAAAGACATGATTAAACGGAAGATTGAAATGTGTACTTTCAAGTGGCTGAGAATTATATCAAATATCTTTTAAAGCTCTGACACAAACCTCACTTTACACCTGGAGGGCACTAGCCATTCAGAGAACAAAAAGCAACGAAGTGAAAGGGAAGTGTTTTGGAGGGACTGGTCATGTCTCCACACGGTGACAGCCTGAATAAAGGCAGAGATGCTCCAGAATGGATCTGCAGAGGGCACCTGCTGAGGCAGTGGCTTCCTACACAGTGTTCCCAAGGGAAAGTCACACCGGCGCTTTGGTGTCATATGCCAGGTGCACCTGTCACTGTGTGTTTTACTCCATGAACGCAGGACTGAAGGTGAAATGCTGCTGGAATTTGACCCCTAATTTTCCTTACTTTCTGGTCCTCTGTCCAGATTTCTGCCACCGTCGTCCAGCGGGTGACCAGCTAGTCTAACGTCCAGAGTCAACCACAATGAGTTGGGAACAGTCATCTCACTGCTTCAGTTCAGGGCAAGGCTGCGGGGACTGCGCCCACAGCGTGGCATGGCTTACTCACAGCAACACAGAGGGGTCACTGGTCTGCCGGCTCAGGTGGTAGGACAGCGCGACCAAGAGGCCACAGAAGGCTGAGAATAGTGCCGGAATGTGCTGCATACTCCACGGTTCCTAAGGAAAAGACACCAAACAGCCAAGTCATACCCCGGTGGGCCGGAGAATCACAGGATCTCCCTCTATCAAACACGCAGGTGCATCCCCAGCGTCGAGCCAAATGGACACTGTGTCCTGTGACCAGTCCTGCCAGTGGACATACAAGCTTCAGGTGGGCACACCCAACACTTGCCTGTCCATGTGTAAACACTGATCTTGACAAGGGAGGGGATATCAAACTAATTATACCTATTTATGAAAATATATTTTACTTAATCTTTCCTGAAATTAAGCTTACGATTTTCATAAAATGTAACATGAAATACATGTCACTTCTTCTGAATTCAATACTTAACGATAGTGAGAACTGTATTTCTTAGTGTTTACTGATCGATGGTTTAAAACGTATGAGTGGTGTAAAAACAACATAAGACACCAAACAGAAATGAAACTCGGTAAAGATCAAAGATGGTCCTCCTGAAAAATAATTCAAAATGAAAAGAGGAAGATATTTTAGGTTTAATACGATAAAGGCACAGATGCCAGTAATCAACACGGTGCACCCGGCATGGCAGAGCAGAACTTGGGAAACACGTGTCACCACCTTCGGCAGCGAGGTGGCCTGGGATTCCACATTTATTCCACATGCACCTGACGCTCCCACAGCACAAACGTGGCTTTCACATAAGACGAAGAAACGTCTATATATTTAGCCTTTTCAATCACCATCAGCAGAATCGCTGATGCCTCCTGAAAGCTGAATTTAGTCAAGGGCTTAAACACCTTTCTCTCCAGATTTGTTTTATTTGAGAAGGATGAGTGGTTTGTTTTGCCTGAGATCAAAACTACAAATGAATGAGGCAAGCGTGCCGTGACAGTCACAACTGCTAGGACACGCGGGAAGCCAGATGTTACCCGGCATGGGGCGAGTGACGTTATTTTCACATGCTTCGTTCTCCTAGAAACAAGAACGCTTTTCCCTCATCTTGCACACCATGCAGGCCTAGGAGCTGAGAGGGCAGCCTCTGCCAGGCGAGGTCAAGGTGGCGGAGCCATGGAGCCACGCGGCCACTGTCAGGAAGCAAGACCACCTGGCTCCATGACACTCCCACACAGCTGGCCTCTGCCCGGCGATGCCAAGCGAGCCTCTCAGATCAGCTCCCCAAGCGTCTGGCACGGTGACCTTTCCAGTGTCCTCAGGATCCACGGCTGCATTCATTACTGCTCTGACTCTGTGCAGATGTCTGCCCCACCAATTTTGCTGAAAAGTTCCAGTCCAGTGACAAAAGGGCTCTCTGCTGGCCTCGTCTATCTCCAGAGTTTCCTTCAGCACTGTCCTCCCTTCTTGCATCCAAAAAAGAGGTGACATTCTTCCCTCCCAGACCGACCCTCCCCTCGCACCTCCCCTGATTCCACAGACACCCCTATTTGGAGGAAAGTCACCCTCTCTGGTCATTGCTTCTCTCTGCCCTGCCTATAGAAATGCTTAAGTGGCCGACATCTTTAAAAGACAAAAAGCCACCCCCCACCAGACTCAGTTTCCCTCCCAGGCTATGCACTGTCTCAGTCCCTTCAGGCTACTGTAACGGAATGTCATGGACTGGGTGTCTCAGAACAACCGAAATTTGTTTCTCACAGTTCTGGAGGCTGCAAGTCCAAGATCAAGGTGCAGAAAGATTCGGCATCTGGTGAGGACCTGCTTCCTGGTTCTCAGGTGAAACGTTCTCGCTGTGACCTCACATGGTAGAAGAGGTGAGAGGGCTGATTTCATTTCAGCACCTACAGGCGCACAGAAGGCTGGCCTTTCGCAGTGCAGAACAGTAGCCAGAAGCTACGCAATCCCAACTCTGCTGACTGACTGCACTAAAACACTGGATGAGTGGTTAAGCCTCAGTTTCCTTATCTAAAACAATTTAATAGTGCTCACCCCGTAGGCTTGTGGTAAATCTTATGTAATCAGCTGTGTGTAAAACATTAGTACAGTAGCTGGTATAAAATGCTCAATAAACATTTGTTATTACTATATGATTTACTAAGCTACATGAGGGGACTGAAGCCTGCAGTAGAATCACATTTCCTGAAAAAATTACAATCGACATTAAGCATGGTCCTTGTCTAAGATGACAAAGGGAAGAACAGTGATTTTTGCAGACTGCCTTAATCCCTCCAGTTCTACGCTATGGATAGAAAATAAGGAAACAGAAACTCTCCTAGAAAATGTGAATGTGACCTTGACAACGTAAGTTATTATTATCTCAGGCTGCACAATCTGAACTGACAAATCTTATCGGGGATAAGTTTCATTGATTATTTTAAGCCATTATGCCCCTCCTGGTGTGAGTCCTACATTAGCAAACGTCTGTATTTCTTCTCCCATACCTGTGATTTCTTTTAGGCATAACTGATAGCTCCAGGATAATATACACATACAGATAACACACACACACACACACTGTGTGCACGTGTATATGTGTGTGTGTATGCGTGTGTGTGTGTGTGCATACACACAAGTGCAGAGTGACAACATTTTCAAAACCATGGCTATTATTTTATTCTATTATTTTTATATGTTTTATTTCATTATTTTTATATATTTGATTTTATAATTTTATTTTACTGTTATTGAAAGAGACCTCATAGCTGAGCTGGTCTCATCTCCTCTCAAGTTACTCCTCAAGCAAGACAGGATAGATGGAAGGCATTTGCCCTAGGGGGTTTGCAACCCCTAGCCCAGCACTCCGTGCCTGACCACCTTCAACATGTGCACAGCTGACCGTGCAGAATATGTACATATCTCACCACTTTAAGAGAAAGGATTGGTATGTCCTGGATAAACACTGTATCTCTGAAGTTCCCAGCTTTACGGGCAGCTTTGTCCATTTATTCATTGATTCATCCATCCACGTGACAGTGTTTGGACATCTATTCAGGTGCCTGTCTATCTTGGTGGGTGGTCGTTGTAAAAAGGGAGCACGACGGCCCTAAGGACGAAGGGCTCGACTTTATCTGGCAGTGATCAGGGCAGCTTCGTGCAGCACTAAGTACTGGAGCTGGGAAGTAAGAGGCAACTAGGAATGGGCCCGGGGAGAGCACACCCCAGGTCGCAGGAGGGTGCATGCTTCCCTGGCCACCGAACTTTCTCTCAAGCACGGGCCTGGATCTGCTGCAGGATGGAAACGGTCTCCTCCTGAAGGCAGGACTCATAAAACACGTAAGAAGATTATGGGAATAGACAAAGGGATGGGAAAGAGTTAAATACACCTAAGGAAAATCACCTTTATTTTTTATCGCCCATCGTTTTCTGCACTGAGAAGAGAGGCAGCTGACTGCCACCGACTCTAAAGACCAAATGACAGAAAACACGCTTCAGCATCGGCAATGGAGTGTAATTTAAGAAAAAAGTTCCTGACATTGATGATATAACATAAAGTCACAGTTATGAGAATGCTAACATTTCCTTTGCCCAGATTATTTAAAAAGGGGACAGATATCTACACTGGAGAGTTGAGATAAAATCCTGCCAGAAAGAGAAGGAAAAGAAGCTTGCTGAAGGCTTTTCCTCTCATATTTTTATTGCAAAGGGACGTAGCAAAGTTGTCCTTCGGTATCTGTGGGGGATGCTTCCAGGACCCCCCACAGATACCAAAATCCGCAGGTGCTCAAGTCACTGACATAAAGCAGCGTAGTGTTTGTGCACAACCTATGCACATCCTCCGTCTGCTTTAAGTCATCTCTAGAGTGCTCCCGACACCTAGTACAAGGTCTGGACATCGCTTCATGCACATGGAGTTGACACAGCACTCGGCTAGCGGCCAATTCAAGTTCTGCTTTTCGGAACTTTGTGAAATTTTCTTTTCCCCAAATATGTTCAATCTGTGGTTGGTTGAATCCACAAATGCAGAACCCATAGATACGAAGGGCTGACAGTACTGTTTTAACATCTCCACAATTTACCACACACACACACACACACCCCTTAATAACAAATGGAGTCTAAGAAGGGACTGCTCAGAATCCTTCCCCAGAAATCACACACACACACACACACACACACACCCCTTAATAACAAATGGAGTCTAAGAAGGGACTGCTCAGAATCCTTCCCCAGAAAACACACACACACACACACACACACACACCCCTTAATAACAAATGGAGTCTAAGAAGGGACTGCTCAGAATCCTTCCCCAGAAAACACACACACACACACACACACACACACCCCTTAATAACAAATGGAGTCTAAGAAGGGACTGCTCAGAATCCTTCCCCAGAAAACACACACACACACACACACACACACACCCCTTAATAACAAATGGAGTCTAAGAAGGGACTGCTCAGAATCCTTCCCCAGAAAACACACACACACACACACACACACACACCCCTTAATAACAAATGGAGTCTAAGAAGGGACTGCTCAGAATCCTTCCCCAGAAATCACACACACACACACACACACACACACACACACACCCCTTAAACAAATGGAGTCTAAGAAGAGACTGCTCAGAATCCTTCCCCAGAAATCAGATTTGTGAGGAGGGGATCACAAGATAAACCACCCTTGCCCCATTTCTGTATCCCTCTCTCCTTAATCCTGGTTACTCTCCAGGCGGTTTGGTTATTAATCACCCCCAACGCCACCCCTGGGACCTGGGCTGTGTCCCCCTATAAGAGATCCATGAAAGGAAGGCGAGCAGCGAGACGCTGGGGGTGGGGGTGTCTACAGCATCAGAAGCATCAAGGAGCCGAATATGTTGAAGAGTTGAGCTTGTCAAGTCAGAGATATGGTAAGAAAAGAAAAAGAAAGAAATGCATTTGAGGATGTTTTTATTTTAATTTTTATTTGGAGGCAGAGAAGAAAATATTGACATTTGAGGGAGAAGAGACCAATGGCCTGAAGACGGGTGTTGAAGGAGCTGCTCAGGTGTGCTGTGCCCTGCACCTGCTGTTAGCTCAGTGCTCAGACGGCTTCGTTCCTTCCCAGAGCAGCAGAACGGAGAGAGGTGCGA